CCAGAGGAATGATGGTGGACTGGCACCAGCAATCGGGGATGATTGAACTGGCTAACAGCCACTGGTCAAGCTGGTCAGTTGACCGGTGCGGGAATGGACGCAGCTGCTGACATGATCACGCTTGAGTGTGCTCCCATCCTCCATCTTAAGTATAGGTCTGACCTGCGGCTAAAAATATCTATGGTCAGTGAGGCGCCCTCGGAAGATGAAGATTGTACAAGGTCGGATGTATCGATGACTGCAAACAAATTATTTCCCATTGACGCCTTACATTTTCCACTGAACTCTAAGAACTATGGTTCTACGGAAGCCTATTTGTGACCCGCCCGCTCAAGAAATGGCCGACAGGCGCTATGGGGTAGTTAGGCAGTCGTGTCGAAAAAGAATCGTCCGCAAAACTGTCACGGAGCTGAATTGGGTCTACAAAATGGGCATATGGTAATATCATGCTCGCCAGAAATGAACGGTGCATAATTTTGACGTTTTAAACAGGCCAGCGAGGGTTCCGTCTTACCCGACCAAACTGCGTCCCCTCTGGCGTGTTCTCTGGAATTTCAAAAACATATACACCAGTCGGTACGAGGCTCCCAGAGCCGGTGGCGGTGGCGGTGATATCATCCAAGGGGTAGGCCTGCTGGCGGATGAAGCGGGGGCGATTGTCATTGACGTCGATCACATTGATACGGGCCACTGTTGTGGTACTGAGCGATGGAGTTCCACCGTCCCGGGCCTCGATGGTAAGAAAGTGACCAGATGCGCGTTCGTAGTCCAGGGGACTGCCCAAGTGCAGTTCTCCTACAAGAAAACAAGAAGAAGCCACTTGAAATACCAGCTGAAATCCTCTCCAGAACAAAGAACAAATAGCTGATAAGAGCGAATAGGCAAGTTCCATAAAACAGTTCAGAAGGAGAAGGTGCGATCGCTGGAAACAGAAATTTATTGCTCTGACGTTCCGGATTCTGGCTTGAGCCCATAATCAGAGACTATTTTCTGCGGCTGGCTCTGATGATGGGTTCAAGCCAGGATCCTTAAGGTCACGCCAGCAAATCCCTTATTCCAGCAATCGCATCTTCTCCTTCTGAATTGACAAATAAATTGGTCACGGTGGACAGCAGCGTATGTTGGCAAAGAGCTCGGGGGAAGGAATAATCGTAGGAGGAAGAGCTCACAAAAAAAACACTGATGTAGTAGAAGTTCCACAATCTCACTTTAGTGTTTCCCTAAGCATCCAGAGAAGACGGTAAAGAGTGATGGCTTCAGAATACAATGGAAATAGAGCACACCTTTAAAAAAGCATGGCAAAGGCAGCTAGCCTGCATGAGCTCCGCTTCCGAACTCTGAATCTGCTGTTCGACCATCGACAGAAAATAGACCACAAATGCTCGTTATTCTTAAATAAATCGAGTTGGAGCTTAACAGGGTCGTTGTGATTGTACTTTCCTGAGACGAATTTAGTGCGTTTGGGCAATTGTTCTAGCCATCTCATTCCGCACCACCTGTTAACTTAGTCTTGCCTCCCCGGCCTTTGTTCGTTTTGTTGACATCTAATCATTCCCCTGAATGGTCTTGAAAAATGACGCTTGTTTGACTTTTCTACCCTCGAGCAGACGCTCTAGGGTTGCGGAAAGGGAAAGTAGAAGATATGTGGATGGTTTATTTGCTCATGGTGCGGACCTAAGTACGAGTCTGTACGTTCTTTCTGTCTCCCTTTCCCTCCCCCTTTCCCTCCTCGTGGCCACCTCAGGGTGAGACACGGAAATGCGTAGAAGGCAACATGAACGTTAAGAGGAAATGGAGAAAACGAGGGCACATTCCTTTAAAAATTTTAGTGCATTAGCCGTTTCAGGTATGAGCTGACTCCTTAACGGAGTTTGTTAAAAAATGCCAATAACATGAGAACCCAGTAGCTAAAGCCAATGAAAGGACAGCTTTTGCCGATAGAGACCAGTGAGATCAGATTAAACGCTATGAAGGCATGCTCTGTTTGGGGCTTGACGAATTCGGAAGCGCAAGATTAACTAGAAGCTCACCACAGCCCTGAGTGTTAATCAATTTGAGACTATATTGAAAAAATGCCGACTTCTTAAAACCACCTCAACTCGGTTTTTTATTCAAAATAGCACCGAAGGATATGAAAAGTTTCTGTAGGCATCACATACTTTTGACAGGCCTTGACTTAATACTCACCGTCTTTCTGAAATTTAACTCGTGACATTCCAAAGAGACAGGCTGCGTTATTCCGTCCCACTCTGCAACCAAATCATCTCCACGCCCATTTGTATCTCTAGACCAATCAGCGAAGACTGAACATGACAATCAGGTACTGCTACACGTTGTGGATATACGCTGGATCAAACCGTGAGTACGTCCAGATTTCTTAAGAAGGTAACAAACCTCTGACATTTACTACCTCTTTTCCGGTGAAATGCAGATGGTAATTATCTCCTAGCCAGTCAAATTGGACTAGTTGACTAGGTAATTTAATGTTTTTCGAGAATTTTAGGTAAACCTATAAGTATGTTTAGGGCTCGAAGCGTTTATAGAATTTAACTAACGCCGGAGTGGCAACAGAAAGCTATTTTCCTCCTTAAATCATCCCCAGAATGTCTGAAGGAAGCACATAAGAGTGGAATAAATGTAAATAACCCACCGAGTATTAGGCAATATAAGCAACCGTCCCAGAAGGAAGTTCCCAAGTACTCACCGCTTGTGGCATTCAGAATGAATTCCGGCTGGCTCTCAAGGAGGCGATATCGAATGACTCCGTTTTCGCCCTCATCTAAGCTGAACGCCTGGAAGCGCATTAGGAGGCTTCCGACAGGTGTCAGCTCGGAGACGTTTACGAGCGGCTGGGGGTCCAGAAACTGGGGCGGGAAATCGTTGACGTCGAGGAGCGAGATACTGACGCTGGCAGTCGCCGTGTGACGAATCGAAGAGGCGGTGGTGGTTGATCCGTCCGGAGGTGCTCCGTCGATGGCGAGAATCGTGAGCTGATGAACCGCCTGAGTCTCCCTGTCAAGTGTCTGCACTACCCGTAGAATGCCTGTGCGTTTGTCGATTGCGAAGCTTGCATT